ATTATTAAATTTAAGGAATGAGAATAAAGAGCGTCATTCACGAATTTGGTTAATACAGTATTAGTTTATTTTTTAATTATAAATTGTTAAAGGGCTCAACATAAGCTGTTCAATAAAATATTTTGCTAAAGTCAATATTTAAACCAATAAAAACAATGTTAATTACTATATCGCATTTGTCGGCATTTCTAAAATGCTTATTTTTATAATAATTAATAAAATTTTTCAAGAATATTTTATAAATAATAAAATTAAATTAATTTTGTGACTTACTTTAATATATCTATATGCTGTATCTTGATAAAATGTCTATTTTTAGAACAAAGCTTCTGAAAGATTATATTTTAATTTTACGCATTTTTTTTTCAATGTTTAACGTAGATAATCTTAATTAAATTATTTTTCAAATTTATAATGCTAATAATTAACTTTTTATCTAATGGAAGTGATATAGTTCGGATCCTTATAGAAGCTCCATAGAACTATACAATAATTATATAAGATCATAAAATATTGTATATGTAAGAGCACCTTACATATACAATATTTCAAAAGTTGGTAAATTCATTTCATTATACGTATATCTGTAAATAAATTGTTATAGGATTCGTTTAAGTATTCTTCTACTTAATGAGTTCATATCAATATAAACATTTTTAAAAAAATTTAAATATTAAAACAATGGTAATAAACGCATAATACTTTGTCTTTATATTTTGCTATGCATTTCAATTTTAAATTATGTATTCAAATGAATCTATAAATAAATCATTTGCTTTGGAAGTTATCTAAGATTTGATAATTTCTTAGTCATAGTTTTAATTTTAATGAACTATAACAAATAAATTGTAGAATTTGTCTCTGATAAGTTTATACTTTTAGAAGAAAAAATAATATTTAAAAAGAAAAAAATCTGCGTGTAAATTGAGAACGAATGTAATTAAATTATACGTATAAAACATCTAAATAAAAAATATTTTCATTTATTCTTAAAATTTATATCAAGTCGATAAATAAGCGTAGGTCTATTTGTCATAAATTGTGTACTTGACTAAAATTAAGATAATGCGATGAGTCTGATAAGATATGTATGATAAACTGTATGCCAAAGTGAAATAACTATCATTTTCAAGTGTACAAGACTATTTGACAGCAGAGAAAACTTAATTACAGTAGAAACTGTATCGTTATCAGTTCTTGTTTGTCTTTCCCATCTCTTTCTTATTATCTCCCAATATAGATATAACTTTTAATAAGGAAAAAAAAGGAAATGGAAAACCGTAATAAAATTTTCTCTGCATCATTTCGAATAGTGCCAGTCAAATATTACAACAGTTAGGCGGGATTTGGTGAAATTTAGGACATGGTTGGGAGGAGTCAGGATTGATTGATTGATCCAAACGACGTTTGGCAGGGAAGTCCCACTTTAGATTTATCAAATAAAAGGGTGCGAGGGGAAAGGCCAACTGCTGTTCTATCACCGTGTAATTAATACAATCGACAACTGCATATATATGTATTTTTTTTCCATCTCATAAAATTAGCTGTATTGTGAAATTTTAAAATAATTTTTAAAATATTATTTATATACAGGCCTATGAGATTATGAGAATATCTATTCCATATTTAACAAATTACAAAACAAATTAATTTTTTCATAAAATAGAGAAAATATTTGAACATCGATTAGAAATTAGAATTCGTATCCAAAATAAAATCATATAGCTTGAATTATTAATATAGAATAATGAATAACCGAGCAAAGATTTTGTAAAATATTTATTGCAAATTCTTTAATTTTTGTTTTATTTTATGAGCTGGAAATTCTATTTTTAAGAACATAGTGCAATAGAAGGTTTGTGTAATCAGAAATTTTGTATAGAAATTTTAAATTTCACGTTAGTGCATAAAATTTTACTGCTCCGTTTAAAGTATCATAATATTATAACATTTCCCAATTATCTCTTTAACTGAGAGCTTGCAACAGCTAGTGATATGAATTCATCATTTGATCGACTAATTTTTATTAGATTTTTTTAAGATAATTTTTAGAATAATAAGATAATAAATAATCGGGATTTTACTGGATATAAATTTGATAAATATAATTAATATATAAACTAATTGATAAATAATATATACAGAAGGATAAAACGAGAATTTCTCAATTTAAAACAAAATTAATAAATTCCTAAATAATTTTTGTCGACAGGAAATCCGTAAAATATGGTCTATATTTTTTTGAGCAAACTATGTAATATATCATCGATTTTTCTTATAAAATATAAATTATAAGTAATAAATCTATATCTTTTATGTATTAAAAATACATATTAACTTATATTTAATAGTAGACATAATAATATTAATTATGATTAATATTATTATATTTACTGTCAACTGTAATATGTAATATAATTTATAAGCAAAGTTAATGTGGTCAACGTGCCGATTTCCACTTTGTATAAGTATATCAACAATATAACTAAATACAGTTTTAATATCCTTCAAACATAATTCTAAGATCTTATGGACATAAAAATAAATCCATTTGGATGTTGTAATTAATTTCAATTTGAATAAAAACGTACGGAATTACTCCATTTTAAATTTAATTCGTTGTCTTTTTGGTGTCTTATATAAGTGTAAATATTTATTCTGGTAAATAAAAAGTATCATTAAAAACGATATTTTTTCTTTATTGACAGTTCTCTATCGTTCTTTAATTGTCCTTTTTTAGCATTCCGGAAAACCGAGATTGTATTCAGAAATATGGTTCTATGGTTCCTCAGAGGATCGCGATTCATCGATAAGAAAACATTGTTTAGGCCATAAAACAGCGTCAATATATTTTTTAAAATTTTATTAAATTGTCTTATTTAAATTTTAACGTATTTTTTTTATTTTATTATCTCATTGTTTAGATTATTTAAATGTAAAAATTACTTTATTTACAAATTAACAATATTAATATCAGCTGA